ACCGGTACTACCACGACAACAACAACTACTACTACTATTACTACTACTGCTACTACTACTACTACTACTACTACTACTGCTACTGCTACTGCTACTACCACTACCACTACTACTACTGCTACTGCTACTACGACTACCACTACCGTAACTACCTATTGCCCAGGCTACCACCGCTATCACCGCTACTACCGCTACTACAACTGCTGCTGCTGCTACTGCTGCTGCTACTGCTACAACTACAACATTGCGTACCACGATCACTACACCTTCCACCACCGCTGATTCATCGTCTAAAATAGCTGCGACTACGGCGACGACAAACTACTGCTAGCTAGCACCAGCAGCACCACCACCTGTGCAGTTTCTGCTGCTGCAGTGCTTACGATGCAAGCACTGCCCAGCTTCCACCCAACTTACCCCTCTTGCGACTCTGAAAACAAAACCTACGCAGATATGCTACAGGCCGCAAGCCTTACAACGTACGAAATCGCAACATTGGCAATGGGGCAATTCAGGTGCTCCACTGTCAGTCTCGGGTCCAGATCAATATCTTGAGGTGAAAGCTTGTACTCCCTGCCGTCGACCACGACACCCTTGTCGGGCGACACCTCCAAGGCACGTACAAGACATGTTGTGGGTCACACAAATAGCTTTGCAGATGCCGTACGATTAGCTGATTCGCTCTTACATCTCGAGTCGCTGAGCTGAGAGCCACTCAGAACTTGTACAGCAACATGATCCGACGAACATACAACAAGTTCATGGCGCAGGCGCACCCGCATTCCAGAGGGGTTGTGCCGCAATGTGCCATCCTTTCACAAAGCAAGAAATCACAAGCACATGATGAACTTCAGAGCCACTGCATCCTCTGCCATGGCGACATCGCTACAACTTAGACTCATGCTGACGGGGAAGGTCATGCACTTGTGCACAAACACCGATTCGCATACCAACCGATATCTTCAGCTGGGCACTTTCCTCATGATGCGAACAAGATCAGGCGTCCAACATGCTTCGACATCAGCCCTGGGATACAACACGGTAAGCTCACATGCTTCCTCTTGTGCACTTAACAGCCCACCACCTTATCAGAGGTCGCCATACAGAGCGGCACTTGCTAAGCAGCACAACGTGAGTTCTCACTCCTGCGTATGCACGACCCGAGGTCCTCGTCAACGGACCATGTCAAGGAGACCGACAAATCCTGGCAGCAATCGTTTGTTCGTAGTGTACAAATTTCTGTCAAAGCGCAAGCCAACACCGTGGAGTTCTTATACGAGCCCGGTCAGTGTGCCCAGTCCTGTGCCTGCCTCGTGTACCCGTGACACCGAATTCATTGTAGGCGCCGCCACTTGGTGAATCGCGCTCACCCTATGGTGCTGTGTGCATGAATAAAGATGCTGTTGGGTGCTCCCGCGGCTCGTTTTCACTTCCCGTGCCGTGTTGCCGCTCGCAAATCGCATCCCTCCCACAATCCCATGCCTACTCTCAAAGTCATGCTCCTGCATTACCGGGGTCCTAACGCGGCACTCCTCCAAATCCAGATTCTGCCAGCACCGCACTGATCCGCTGCATGAGTGCCCTGGTTTGATTCGTCTCATGTGCACGATCTGCCTGTGCCACATCCACGAGAACGCCTAAGGAATTCGACATGTAGCTGCTGCCGACCCTGCGGATACATGCTGCAGCACGTCCAGCAAGCGACATGAAGTGCATTCGCAGAAACTCCGAGCAGTGACAGAGGCAGATCGTGCCGGGACAACTGCATGCGGCAAAACATGCACGGAAGGCTCTTTCTTGGCTTCTGATATGTCCCATTCATTGGCGAGGATGCGGAGCTCTTGCCCGTTTCGATCGTCCCCCAAGACCAAGAATCCGATGAAGGACGGACTGCACGGACGGAGGAGTCGCCGCGTGTGTTTCAGTGCGATTTGGAGCATAATGGCGTTGCTCTCTCTTCTACCTGATAGGCCGAAGCCCGTCGATTTCTACGCAGTGTAGGTTGGAGCTGGCAATGCTCGACGTCCCTCTCGACATCTCAGGGAGGATCCGGCAACGTCCTTGCCGAACTCATCACAAAGTTTCACTGTCACGCTGCTAGTGGGCGATGCTACAGCACTAGAAGTGCGAGCTTTCTTGGTGCTTGGCAAGATTTGATGCCGTGTTGCCACACGCTGGTTTGAATTGCATTCTGCAGTGCTACAAGCACCGGAAGTCAGAAAAACGAGGCGACTGGGATGAGGCATGCTCGGCAAGATGGCATTTTGCTTCTTGCTGGTAAACATATCCACACAAATCCATCCGACACCCCAACGACAAAGTGAGTAGACTACGGCGAGGTGCTGGAACTGCCTTCTCCAACTCTCAGTTTACATCCGGAGACTATAATTTTTGTAGATTCCTCCAGACAACATCACATGTGCCTCGTCAACCTCCAGCAAAGGCCTTAGAGGAATCTGCCGCACATGCTTGCCATCGCTTTCGTGAGCCCCTGGCATGGGTGTGGCCGACGCCAACGTCCAGACGAAGGCCTTGCAACAGGTCTTTTCTCCTTCAGCGCTGCGAGTCGGCTCGGGACTGGAACTGGGCACCTCGGGGCGACATCGCGAGGACCCCGAACACGCTACACGACGGTCTTGAGGATAAGGATATGAGCGGGTGCAGTGGGTGCAAAGTAGCTGACTCGGAATTTGACCTTCACACGCTCCAAACAAAAAGCACTTTTTGTCACTCGACAAACTCTTCTTCATCGCCGGCATCATCTTCATCGGCAAGATCCTGTCAAAGATCATCGTAGAAAGGGACAGCACCGACACTCTCGAAGCTCTCATTGCCTGGACTGCTCCCCCACGTTGCACGAGTTTGTAGCTCATGCCCTGCTCGAGAGCCTCATGTGCCATCGCAGGAAGAGTCAATGGCAAATCAGCATGAAATTGTCTGTGCCTTTTTCATTTCTTCGCGCTGAAGCTCTTCATCCTGTGACCATGCATAGTGGCAGAGAGCGGAAACGAAGGTCGTAGAAAGCTTATGGATCACACTTTTCCTGGCTCTGCTTGGAGATCACGTCCACCAGAATGGTGTATTTTCCTCTGCATCATAAGTGCTTGCGAGTAGAATGTGGCCCTAGATCAGGAAGAATCTCGGCAGGTTCACCTACAAGATAACCTGATTCAAAAGCTCTGCATACTCATTGATTTTGTCGCCTGCCGCAGTCTCCGGGTTGCGGAAGGGAATGCTCACAGGGACCTGAATTGAAGCATGTGTACTGCGCAGAAACGCTCGCGTGCAACAACACGCAACAATCAACACTGTGCGTGCTAACCTCATGCAATCCAGCTCTGCTAAGACCGCCGTCAGGAATATCCAGGTCTGAGGATCCAAGGAGCTTCAGAAATGACATGACACGAGCACGCCTCCGAACACAGCAAGCCGAGACTCGCACTGCCCGGGAGCAGGTCCAACTCGTGGTTGGTTGAAAGGTCCTTCAGAATTCAGAACGACGAATTTCTGTCGCCGACTTTCGTCGATGTTGAAGATGTTTGAGCATGTTGAGTGCCCCACGATGCTTTCGATAGATTCCGGCCTAGTCTCTTGACCCTCCGACATTTTGGTGCGGGACGGTCTATGGAGCTGGAGGGATCAGGATCGCTTTAGAAACGCTGGGGTTCTGCAAACGTGTCTGTCGTCCATGGGACGACAACGGAACAAACCCGTCCCCTGTGATCCCGCAAAAATGGATTCGCGTAGGCGAATGCTGTGACACAGTACCACTGCCGCACAAAGTCAGGAGATTTGCCAGAAGAATCTCGGCTTCGGCAGACCCGATTCGAAACATCGGAAAGTCAGTACAATGAGGGTGTGGGAACTATTCCTTTTTGCGGCTCCTCTGTCTTCATTTCACGCTCCCGAAGAAGCTCAAAGCTTGCAGGAGAGACGACTTCGAGAACATCGAGCGACTCAGAAGGACAAAGGGGGAGAATGTCGTGACAGTCCTCAAGCACGTCCCATTTGGAAACAGGCTCGAGAAGCGCCATGCTTTGATCCTTATTCAAATCCCAGGTCAGGCTGCCAAAGAAAGTCGTGCAAACATTCCCAGACCTCGCGAGCAGGGCGAACAAATCTCAGACGGACGTCGCCCACCTTGCCGCATTGGAGAATGACAAACAGCCAACTACAGGTGCAACACAAGACATCGCAAGCACTGTTAGGATATAGCAGCCAAGACACCCAATCGAATGGCAATTGACCCCTCTCCGTTGCAGCGCGTGCCTTCACATGATTTCACATGAGCCCCAATGACATATCTCGAAATGCATTAGAACGCATAAAACACAGCAAAGCCATAAAACATGGACAGCTCGTGCTGTTATCGATTATCAAATCGAAAAATACCATGTAAATGCGCCACTACGATATGCCTTCAGCGTGGGGTCAGCGATCAACGTTGGATCGGCAAACGCCTCCAACATGAACGTTACACATCTTCCCAACCACCATCCCCAACTCTAACTGCAGACCAGCGTACACATCATGAAGTTACGCATGTAGGGCTGCGACATCGATGTTTTCCCATGTACCGAAGGCCGCTAGTCCTTTTGGCACCAGGACATGCCGCGCATACCCGCGCCTGTCGAAGGAAATGTCAAGGATGCACTCCGATCACTGCCGTCTTTTCAATAGGGGTCAGTAACGATCTTCCCATGAAGCGGCCTTACGTGGACGATCTGCCCCTTCGTTCCAACCTGAGAACCACCAGCTTTTTGCAGCAGCATTTTCCAAGTGAAGCTTCATCACGTCGACAGAACTTCCGAGCTACCTGCGCCACGGATGGTTTGCCTAAGAACATGGGAGAAGCTCGGATTACTCGCAATCTGGCTGCAACAAGTTCCAAGACTCATACCAGCCGTCTCGCACCCACAAGCACAAAAGCACTTCACACCATGTGAACAACACCCAAGGAGTGTGCAGAAGCACGACAGGGACCTGCGTGACTGCTCTCGGAAGATCACGCGAACATTTAACATATCACAGCAAGTTTTCGCCTGGCTTTTGATGAAGATGTACTTGGTTCCAACAACCTCAGGTGCTGGATGACTCCTCTAGCAAGCTAGGTAAAGCATGGCAGTATCACAGCGTTGCAACCTTTGCAATTCAAAAACGCCTCGGGGAACGCACAATGCCTACGAGAAATACTGCGCCAGGTCTCCCAACCGCTGGTTTGTCGTGCGCCTTTCTCGTCGCGTCTGGATCAAACCTGAGTTTGGCACCTCTATCAAGCTTGTGCTCTCCAGATCTAAACCAAGACAGAGCTTGGACAAACAAATCATCACACCTGACCTTGGACAGGCCAACCAGCATCAAAGAACTTACTACGACGGGTCCGCCGGGCATTCCCATTTGAAACCACTGCATCAATCCTCTACGCTTACGCGTTGTTTACAGACTCAGTTACAGAATGCTGTGATTAAGTGATGAAGCATGCCAACATTGAACGGGCATCAACAGGAAAAAACATTTCATATCTATAACTATAACTATTGTGATTGGTCCTGGTCCATGTATTCCATTCATAATAACTCCGTGATGTTGCATAGATCGAAAAGTCTGAGGTTCGCTCCACCAACGCCGCTGTTGGTACCAAATGCGCCACCTGACGATGCACAGTTGCCCGGACTTCCATAAGCAAAACACGACCCGCCTGCAACTCAAGCGTGCTCGTGTCTTGATGCCGTGCAAGGGCTGCAGTAAAGCAATTGGCATTGGCAAAGTGGCCAGTGTCTCTCAACAGCATGCCACGAAGGGTCTGGATGATGAGATGCTTGCAACAACCTGTCATCGAATCTAGCAATACAGGCGGCCACAGTAAAAAAACTTGATGAGTTCGTGCAACTTGTCGTTTCGCATCGTACCCCTTCTCAGCTTAGCATATATACAAGCTCAAGCCGGCTGACACACAGCAAACATGAAATCTGTTGCAATGCTGGACAACCGATGGGGATCCAACACGCTGCAACGAAGGCAAAAACTGAACTTGCCAGTCTAGGTTCGTGGACTCACCAACCCAACGCAAAAAAAAATTGAAAGTGTCGGAATGGCAAATGCGGTGGCTTCATGCATGCATCGGTTTATCACCACTGCACACATATGCCATGCTGTATACCGCAGAAGAAAACAAATCGATTGGATTCAACAAAGCTTCAATGCAACCAAGCCACTCGAATCACAAATCCGTCGAAACGGCAACTTGAACCAGCTGAAAAATATCCTGTTCTTGTTTTGTAGTTGATTCCTGCATAGTTGCATCAGAACTACACACACGTATTGTCCTTGCAAGTAAAGATCAACGGAGCGAGTGTTAGAGACCCCGGACGCCTCAACGCGCATGTGTGGTAAGACCAACAACAAAATCTGAAACGAAATTGAATATTCCGCAAGAAAAACAACCTTGAAGATACATGTCGGGCTAGCGAGACCGGGGCTGGTTCCCGGAACCCTTCCTCAACGGGACCTTCGAAGCCTTCGAAGCCTTCAAAGGTCGATGGGTCGAAGGGGGCGGGGGGGGGGGCCGAAGGTGATGATTAAGGCTTCGAAGCCCCCTTCGAAGCCTTCGAAGGCTTCGAAGCCTTCGAGGACGAGAACGAAGGGACCTTTGAAGCCTTCGAAGCCCGGCCAAAAAAGCAAGGAAGAAAACCTAACGTTCTCTCGAAACGAAAAAAAGAAAGCCACACGAGAACGCTTTGTGGGTTAAAAACGAAGAAAGATGAAAAGAAAATGAAATCAAACAAAATGTCGGCGTGAAGCCCCCTTCCAAGGCTTCAAAGCCCCCTTCGAAGCCTTCGAAGGCCTTTCAGAAGGAGGACGAAGGGAGCTTCGAAGGCTTCGAAGGGGAGGAAGGCTTCGAAGCCTTCGAAGCTGAGGCTGAAGGGGGCTTCGTTGACCCTTCGAAGACTTCGAAGCCCCCTTCACCTTCGCGAGCTGAAGAGAGGCTTCACACCCTTTAGCTGAAGGGGCTTCGAAGCCACCCCTTCAACCTTCGACCTTCGACTGCCCTGCCCTGCCCTGCCCTCCCCTGCCCTGCCCTGCGCTGCTCGTGCTGCCCTGCAAGAAAAAATAGCTGCGTGCGAAGGTGTGATATCATTGTATTCTTGCATGTATGACAAGGTGTGGGAATCAAGTGTGGTAACCCTGAACCCAAACAGGAAATGGTTTGGGTGGTTGCCCGTGGTATCATCACAGCAGGCGGGAAAAAAGAGCTTCCGGTTGCACCGGGTTCTAGTACAACATACACAAGAAGTCGCTTCACGCGATATACGCCGCCACCCACAAAC